AGGGTTCTCACAGGTGACCGTGCACCCATCCATCCCTCCGTCTGCAGAACGGCTTCACACCCCTCCACATCGCCTGCAAGAAGAACCACATCCGGGTGATGGAGCTGCTGCTGAAGACAGGAGCATCCATTGACGCCGTCACCGAGGTAGGTGGGCTGCAGCCAGCCCCAGCTCTCTTGCTGCTGCCCGTGCAGAGCAGGGGGTCATGGCCTTGTTGGCTCTGCTGGCCCCCAGGCACCTTCTTCATCATGGCTCAGAGCTCTTTGCAGCTCAGGACATGGTGAGCTTGGCAGCATCTCTCCACAGCTGCTCCCTGCAGGGCACTAGGTCTCCATGTTCCACTCAGCTCCCATGTCAGGCTGCTGGGATGAGAGTTTGCCCCTGCGCTGGAGCGTGCCCCAGGGACAGGGAGGAAGGGGCAGGAACTGATGTTGGCAAAGCCATCATCCCCCATCTTGGCTTCTGGCCGCTTTCTCTCTGCAGTCCGGCCTGACCCCCCTGCACGTGGCCGCCTTCATGGGGCACCTGCCCATCGTCAAGACCCTGCTGCAGCGTGGAGCCTCTCCTAACGTGTCCAATGTGGTGAGTCCCACCACGGCTCAGGCTGTGGGAACTCGTCATGGCAGGGTCCAGCAGGAGATGGGGATTGCTCGATCCCTGCTCCCTCTGCAGCCCCTGCTCTGTGCCGGCAGGAGGAACATGGGAGCAGAAAAGGTTGTGGGCACTGCTCTCCCGTGCTCAGACCAGAGGAACGACTGCAGGAGGGCATTTACCCTCCTGTGGCCTCACTGCTTTATCCTGTCCTTGGTGCAGAAAGTGGAGACACCCCTACACATGGCAGCCAGAGCTGGGCACACGGATGTGGCAAAGTACCTGCTGCAGAACAAAGCCAAAGCCAACGCCAAGGCCAAGGTAGGTACTGAGAACGTGTGTGATAGTCCAGCCGGTGCTGGTTTCTTTGCTCTGTGCAACAGCAGGAGCGGGGCTGGGGCCTTTTTGGCATGGCAAAGGGACTGGTCCAGATCTGCCCCAACACTTTCTCTGCCTCCCTCGCAGGATGACCAGACCCCTCTGCACTGTGCTGCACGCATCGGCCACACTGGCATGGTCCAGCTGCTGCTGGAGAACGGCGCCGACCCCAACCTGGCCACCACGGCGGGGCACACACCACTGCACATCACCGCCAGGGAAGGGCACGTGGACACGGCCCTGGCCTTGCTGGAGAAAGGGGCCTCACAGACCTGCATGACCAAGGTGGGCTGGTGGCAGTGTCCCTGTCGCAGGAGGGGCAGCGTCCTCCTGCGCCGCAGCGTTGCGCCGGTGCTGTCCTCCTCGTCCCTGACGCGCTGTGATGGGCTGCCTGTCTCCTCAGAAAGGATTTACCCCTCTCCACGTTGCAGCCAAGTACGGCAAGGTGGACGTGGCGGAGCTGCTGCTGGCGCGCGAAGCTCACCCCAATGCGGCAGGGAAGGTGAGTGCTGCTCCTGTGGGTGACGTGGCACAGGGAGAGGCTCTGTGTGACCTGTCTGTGCTCTCTCCTCCTCCCCAGAACGGCCTGACCCCGCTGCACGTGGCTGTGCACCACAACAACCTGGAGATCGTCAAGCTGCTGCTTCCCAAGGGGAGCTCCCCGCACAGCTCGGCGTGGGTAAGGCTGGGCAGGGTGTCCCTGGAGATGTGTTGTGTGCCTGAGGCCAGCAGTGCCCCTCAACCCGCTCTCCGCAGGGGTGCCGGGCAGTTGTCCTGTTCCAGGACAGGCAGTGTCA